CGGCTGCTCCTACTGTCTTTCCAATTCTGCTTCACAGATCATCAAAGAGTGTGAACGTGTGTAATGAGCGCATATTGAATGTTAATTATGTTAACTATGTTAATTATTAGAAGAAATAACAACAACAGTCTTTTTGGACAAAATTTCTTTTTATTACAGAATTATAATAATGGAAGCATAGTACAATGAAACCATTCAAGTGATGTCATACCTCATAATTTATTAAAGGGGACCTGCCACCAAAATTTCATACCCATTTTTATCATTTTTTCCTAATCCTTGATGTCCTCTGATCATGTTTGCAACATAATTTTAGCTGAAAAGTTATTCGATGATTTGTTTTAGTATGCCTAAAAAACCTTTCAGAAAAATCAACAGGTTTTACCATAAATGTTAATGAGCTTTGCTCTGATTGGATCGCTGCTGTAAAGCCTGCTGTGCTCTGATTGGCTCAGCAGTGGAGGTTCTGATGCCGTTTTATCTGTTATGCTAATGTGTGCTAAAGGCTAAAAATGGCAGACATTAATCCATATATTTTTGACCCCGAGTCCGAAGAGGAGGTAGAAGGTGAAGAAGCCGGAGAGCGAAAGAACATGGACGTGTCAGAATGGTAATTTGATAAGACAGTGGTTCTCAAATCCAGTCCTCGAGCCCGCCCGTCCTGCATGTTTTGGACGTTTCCCTGCTCCAACACACCTGATTCAAATGATCAGCTCGTTATTAATTTTATTCCAGAGCTTGATAACGAGCTGATCATTTGAATCAGGTGTGTTGGAGCAGGGAAACATTCAAAAAATGCAGGACGGGGAGCTCGAGGACTGGACTTGAGAACCACTGTGATAAGAGAAGATTTGATCTAACTTATCATTCTCGGTTAGGCTATGGGTGATCAGGCTACACACGAACACACAGCACATGGTTATCTTGTTTATTTCCGAAATTAAGTTCATGGACCTCCAAATAGTTTATTAACACAACACATAATTTGGCCCTCCATGGAAAATAATTGGAGACCAGTCATACAGTATTATTCACAATTAAGCTGCGTGTGGTATAGGATGATGAACCTATGCACAAGGCCTATAGTCTATTTCGTGTCATAATCAATAATTCCCAAACTCATTACCTACCTTTTACTTCAGGTGTACGTGTGGGAATTGCTGCACAATGGAGACTGAGACTGAGAACGTATGTTGCAGGGAGATATCAGTGGTAAGACAGTGACATCTGTGATATGGATAACATTTTGGGTAAACACCAATTATTACTATATCTGACAAAAACATATCTGAATGCACAGGCACTAAATAGAATGGAGGAGCTGGAGCCACCAGTTCATTGCATGACAATCCATCCTGGACTAGATCCAGTATGCCTGAATATTTTTTCCCTGCAAAATGCCCTCAATATCTACCAAAGGGATTACGGGCAAGTACCAATTACATGCTATGAAAAGTAAGTGCAATAATGTTAACACTGCAAGGCACATAAGCATATTCAAACATGACTAACTTACACCTATTAATAATACCAAAACGAAATAAGCAACATTTGAAACAAAGTTTGAAGTATTTTGTTTTATTACACTCAAAGCCACTTTACAGGAAATACACAACACACACACCACTTGCACGCAGCACACACACACAGAGAAAAAAAAATAGAAAGGAAAGAGGGTTAATGTCGTAATATACATATACACATATATACAACAACGTCCTTTTTTTTATTACAGCCGTTGCAGGTTCCTGTCATATAGGTCCTTTGTTAGCTGGTGCTGGGGATATCTTGGCCGGCATGTACGTGTGGTGATCCCCTCTTGTGCCGTCCAGCGTATCCGGCGGGAGTTCCCTGACGGGGCGGGGCATTACGTTGGGTTCAAACGTCCTCCAATCTGAACCGGGACTTGTAGGGCGCAACAGCATCATCCATGGGGGGGTGGTCAAACTGGGATGAGAGGAAGCTGGGGACAGGAATCTCCTGAAGTTCCTCTAGGTAGGGCTGGGGACTGGGGAGAACCTCTTCGAAGAGGAGATCCATGAGTTTGTGAAGGTAGTCTAAAAATGTAAAAGGAAATGCAAATGAAGTGAAAATGACCTGGTGTTTTATTTCAATAAATACTTTAAAAAAAAATTACTGTATGTTGGTGGTGTTTTCACTGATTTCACTGAGGCTGCTCCTTTTTTTGCCTTTGGGAAATTCATCTTGTACTTCAGTCTGCCAGATGTTGTTTTGGCTTGACAGCGACCAGCATTCTCATTGAAGTGCATTGCTGCCAGGTACAGTTTGAAGGAGAAAAAAAAATTCTGTGGTAATAAGAGTCAGAGCAGAACACTGGCTGCATCAGGTCTGTATCAAACATCTACTTAATTTCCTTAGGGGTCAATGAAGTATAGTAATAAAGTAACTGTACTGTAGGTAACCACAGCAAAGATATATCAAATACAGGGTTGGGTGGGTTATGTACATGTGGATGTTTTTAATCATTAGATGTGAACATACCTGCATAACATCCCAATAAATGGGAACACCACATTCTTCGGTGTGAATCTCAGAAGAACGCTGTGGAAAGCCTCCAGTGTTGAGGTCTGATACTGGGAGCTGAGCTTCTCAACATCTGTCAAGACCCTCTTGTTCAGTAAGATTCTCTCCAGTTTGTAGAGAGCTTTGGAGCCTACAGACAGATTGTTGTTACTTGTACAGAAGCAAGCTTGCCAGACAACATTACATAAGATACTGTATCATGGAGGACTACATACCTGGCTTAAACCATTTTTTGGGATATTTTGTCCGCCGAATAGGGTGGAGGCATTTGGGAAAGACGGGGTTGTCATGGTTGTGCTTGTCTTGTATGTGGTTCACCAGTGAGGTCCATTTAGCCACTTTTTCAGGCCCAGATGATGAGGAGATTGCTGTCCAGTACATGTGGTTACTGATGCTCCGCCGCCACTTTTTCACAATGTCGCATTCTTTGTCTTTAGACACCTTGTCCAATTTCTTGGGCAGACCTGATGAAAAAGAAAAGAAAAAGACAAAAAAGTCTTGCGAGTACTATCCCCATGAGTCCATGCTCAATTCAAACGAGTCCAAGTTTACTAAATGCCTATCCGGCTGTTAAGTGTGACGTCATTTTGTGAGCGGAGCGGCTTCCGGGTCCATGGGGAATCAGCCTCCATTCACTCTCTATTCAAAACAACAATGGCGGAACCCGTGAATCTCTTTACAATAACCTCATTTTTCAGAGGGGAACCACTCAGAGTTAAAAAGGGACTTAAAGCTTTCAACTCAGATAGAGTTGTTAATGTAAATTTTAGTGATGACGAGATGAAGCCTCATGAAGCATCGAAGCTTTCCATCCAATTACTCGCCCCCTGGGCCGAAGCTTCATGATCGTGCTTCATTTGCTCTATTGTGCCATCAAGTGGACAATAAATGTAAAACAGGCAGAGTGATAAACCAAAGACACCCCGTGGCTTTGGTGCGCGAAGCTTTGAATTCACTGAATGAATGGATGTGATGCCGTGTGTTTGTGATACAATCATAGACTGTATACAGTCTATGGATACAATTCAGAAATGAAGTTATTTTTTTGTCTTTGTTGTTGGGAGGAAATCTGTAGAATGATAGTTTAGTCGCTGTTTTTGTCTCTGATCTGTTTAAGCAGCAAGGGACATAGCACTGAGGCATTATAACAACTTATCCGCTGGACCCGGAAGTGGAAGAGGAGAACGCGGCTACGTCACGGCTTAACAGCTGGATTCCCTTTGTCATCCTGTAGTTATTCACTCCTATAAGTAGTATATTTTTTGGTGTACACTATTTTTACATTACATAGCATAACTATGTATTGAATCAAATAAAGAGACAAAAATTACCCTTTTCAAGGTGCCAGACATCATAAAAATGCTGGACATTGCGGTCCCGCAGAAACTTTTGAATCTGTGGATGTCGGTCAGTAACAATGTAGTCCACTGCCACACCCTTCGCCTCTAGAAGCTCAAGGCTTCTTTTGAGACCCTCCTTCTCCATGTGATGGCTCCCTCCAACCTCATTGCTCTTGTGGATTAAAAACAATACGAAAAGAAAGTGATGAATCGGATGAATCACACAATGACAACGCCACAAATTATTTCTCTACTCTTCAGTCTCTATTATTAGACTGAATGTGTAAAAGAGAACATAACAGATAGCAATGTAAATGTAAGTATTTGCAATGATGAATGTAAAATATCTCTCTTTTTCAGGTTACCAGGCAAACAAACAACAAATTCAAGGAATCTTTGTGTGATTTTTCCATTTTCATATAAGGATCTACTAACCTGGACAAGCTGCACATCAATGATGTTGTTGTTCTCCAGGTTCATCAATGAGTAGCTGCCATACTTTGCACTATGACCTGCAAACACATAAGTGATGTCGTGAGCCCACTGCTTTTGAGCATTTTTGTGCCCTTTTGTGTCAAACTTTAAATGCATTGCGAGTCAATGAATAGGCTTACCTGGACTGTCTGCCCTCATATCCCCGCCAAGTTTGACCTTTCTTTGGCTGAGAACCTTCCACGCTTCCTCCTGAATCCTATTCCACTTGTGGATCACGGCTGGCTCCAAATAGGTCCGTGCGTGCCTTCCTAAAGTTGTGTGGCCAATGGACTTCAGGTTCATGGCTTTGAATACCTACAAATAAAATCATAATTCATTACCACAATTCTAAGTCACATTCTAAGTGCGCTTTGGATCACAATATCAAAGACAAAAACAACATTAGGTGTATTTTTCACTTGTCCTCAACAAGGTCATGTGCTGAGGGAAATTACATAAAAAGGAAGGATATTACATAAAAACTGCAATGTGATGGTGAGTGTGAAGTGCGAATCGATACCTTGTTCAGCTTGAAAAATGACATGCCAGTGAAATATATGGCTGCAGACAGTTGGAGGTTGATGATTGGGCAGCTCCCAATGACTGGTTGACTTGTCCACTCTATTGGTTGACCATCAACACTTACACAATCTTTGAGGACTCTGATACATCTGTCATTGTTTGGTCAGGCTCATATGTAGAGTCAAGTGGTGGCGGGATCACTGAGGAGTCTTCCCCTTCGTCTTCCTCCTCCACAGCTAACCGACGCCTTTTAGCTGGCCGTGGCCTGATCGGCGTATAGGTCAGAGTCTCATCAGTGGTAGCTGTAGTCTCACTCGCTGCTGTAGTTTGAGTGCCTGTATTTGCAATGCATTTTATCAGTATTACTATTAAAATAATACACTATTAGAAATAATACACAATTAAAATAATATTATTTTACCACTATTACTTTATATTATTATTGTCAACACCACATATTCAGAACAGAAGTTAGAACATAAGAGTTAAACTAGGCACAAGAGAGTGGTTGCAAAATGAAAGAAATCACAAACCTCTACTTTTCACATGATGGCGCAATGTACCAACTGAGAGCTGTGTACCCCTGTTACACAGACTGGGTGGGTCTGTTTGGCAAGACGCATACTTGAACCTCAGTGTTGTCCCTGAGGTGGTCTGATTGACATAAACACACAGAAAGAGAGAGAGAGAGAGAGTCAACACACAAAGTGTGTGAAACAACATATATATTTTCAACAACCTGTTCAAAGAACGTGCTAATGTACCAGGCTCGGAGTGGCTAATCGGGAGGACCGGGACAATTCCCGGTGGGCCGGTGTTGTGCCGTAGAAAGCACCCCCGCCGTAGAATGCACCCCCGATGGGAGCGCGGTTGAAAGTACTTAACAGGGCGAAAATAATCCAACTTTTCCTTACCATTGGATGAATTCAAAGCGTGTGCCTTTAATAATTTCACTCAGGCTATTCAGATAAGCCGAAAAAATAGCCCTCTGATTCAGAATATTTGCTGTCCCAAAAATATAATGTATGCTAGCTTGACAGTTTACTGTACAGTTTATATACCCAAGCACACCTCCGTATGTGCATTTTTGAGACACATAGCGTTCTGCGCTACAGAAATGTTGTGACGATCCGAACTAGTTTCGGTGCTCCAGCGGTGTTTCATTCATTCTGCCCAGCTACAAGTTCATTTTCCCGGCAGTGAACCCAAGGAAACACCGGTCGTTTGGAAGAGACCCATAGCGGGTACAGTGGTAGCTGAGTCTGGCTCTGTCTGGAGCGTGATGATGACTATGACTTCGTACGCCCCCGACAAATAAAACTACTATTAGTTCATGCAAAAAAAAAGTGTTTTACTTATGGACAGTCGTGATGGCACGGCTTCAGGCTTCAACAGCAACTTGTCTGCAAAGCCACTGTGAAACTGGCCGAAGTTGGTGAAGTCCGTCTCCTTGAAATGCTGGGCACATACGCTTAACTTGGAGCTATAGCGTTCTGGTTTGCATCCAAAAATAATCTCCAGCCATTTTCCTATTAACTCAGGGTCTTTGGGCAGCGCGTGTAATGTCCTGGTTCGGCTTTTGCAAAGCGCGCAATACCGCTGTCGTTCAGCCATTGCTAACACTACCACTTTGCACTTCGCTATCATGCAGACCGCGGACGTCGTGGGCGCGGCTCACCGAGGGTGCGCTCATGAATAATAATGAGCAAGGTCGGTGCAACGTAACACCGACCTGCTTTTTCAATTGGCCTGGTTTACCCATCCTTAAATTTTAAATCTCTACAGAATGCAAATGACGTAACGGTTTTTTTTCACATTTTCAACATAGAACGAACATGATATGGACCTTATCTGACACACAAAAATGAAAAAATGCACTTTTTGTGGCAGGTCCCCTTTAAGATGTTGGCAAGTCTGGTGATTTCTTCATTCATCAGGTTTCCTGCATGCATACAAACAGAGCACATCAGTAACAGTGAATGATAAGTATGACTGTGTCATTGTGTAAGAAATGAAAGTGGTTTACTTACACATCCATAGAAAATAGGTGGTTGAGCACAGCACGCAAACAAAGCTTTGCCACGACAGTGGAACTTCCCAAGTAGCCGATACCAAGGTCACACAATCATGGTGAGCAAAGGTCAAACCAGGTCAGGCACTCACGAGGCTGGCTGTGGCAAGTGTAAGTGAAAGCGACACGCACTGGCAGGAAGAACAGGAAACGCCGATGAAGGAAAAGGGTCTTTGCAGTGATGGGCGTTACCAGAGAGGGCGATGGCCAGAGGACGCGAATGGGACGGGGAGGCGATCGCGTTGGGGGCGGCGCAACGCGGGGAGGGCCCGCCAGTGCCCCAACGGGGCCCTAGTTTTTCCTCCCCTTTGAAGGGCAAAATGACCCACTTCCCACTGGCAAAAACTCATGAAATTTGGCAGGAAGACCGGGCCTGGTGAACAATTCGATATTGTTAAGTCGCACAAACAATAAAATGTAAAATGGCTCCATAGCGCCCCCTAAGGTGAAAATTCACATTATTGAGTGTCACGCCTGTACGCTTTGTCATTTTGACACACACGTGTATCTCAATAAGGTCTACGAAAAAGTCAGCGTGGGCATATCTGTCAAATGTACGGTTAAAGGGCTATTTCGCATTTTTTGCCGATTCGCACACATTGGAATGTGGCTAACTCCTCCTAAAGGTTTAGTCCAACCGGCACCAAATTTGCTCAGGCCAATCTACACCCCATGGCCATTCAAAGTTGTACAAATCATGACACTGCACCCCACGGTTGAGGTTCTAGGGGGCGCCAAAGATGACCCAAATATCCACATTCTTAAAAGTCTTATAACTTTTTATGTCTGTCCTCACTGGCCTCCAAGTTTTCTAGGATGATGCAATGTCCAGCCATCAACACATTTGTGAAGGAATTTTCTTCTCCCCAGAAGAGCGCCCCCCCCATGGCAGGAGAAAAATCAAGTTTTTCCTGCCCGTTGCTCAATGGCTCAAACGCATCGCTCTCCCAGCAAAACCGAAAGGAGGAGCAACTTGCCATTTGGATATATCCTAGCTGTGTTTGTGCCCTCACTCATGGTCCAGACTTTTTTCAAATAGGACATGTAGTTTGTCTGTAGCGAGCGTTTTGGTAGAAACTGCGCCTCCCATTCATTAAAACGGGAAATGACCACAGACAAGTGCGCACACCATCTTTGGACCTTGAGTGTGACGCGATCGGGAGGGGGAGGCGGCCCTAGTTCTTCTTATTCTTCCGCCGATTTTTGCCGCTTTTCAACTCCTTCAAACTTTGTGCTATTTCAACCATTCTAATTGTAAACTGTTCCACTCCTTCAGAACATGTGTGCTTGTATTTTTTTTTACCTTTCTACCCTTTATACTTTTTGTTTTTTTTTACTTTTTGTGCCAACATTTTAACATTGAAATCAATGGGGAAATCTTCCAATTCCTCCTTTTATTCTTCCACCTTCAAAGCCTTATAACTTCAGCATACTTTCACCTAGAGACCTCATTTTTGCTTTAAAATGTTCATTATCTTGTCAACTGTTAATGTTTTATTCAATTTTTTGATATCTTTACAGTTTTCCCACAATTTAGCTTTAAGCAACTCGTGGTTTTCAGCAAATTTCAGGCTTTATAATGGGTGTGTATTGAAGAAGCTAGAGTGTTTGATGTCATCACTAGAGTGCAGAGCTCCTCTTGGATCGACAGAAGCACGCTCGAATATATCGCTCCCACACCCACAAATTTCACTCCACAGCCATAAAAAATACATCAAAATGGAGGTATATGTGTCCTGCTTCTCACAAAAGAGGTTTCAAATCATTTAATCGTGCCCCTTGGCCAGCAGGTGACCAACTGTCCAAAAAGGCAAAGATTCCTCCCATTAACCCTAATTTAATCTCTCTCCCAGAAAATCCTGATCATTACTCGGGCTCAGACCTTTTTAACTCGCTGTTGTGGCCACATTTTTAAGAGTACAGACATGAAAAACACATCATTGTGTTCATGAAGGGCTGAGGATTGTACAAAATTATTTTCATTCTGGGATTTAAGGAAATCACGCTATGTGAAGAAGTTCAGAGGCCCTAAATCCACTGCAGTTAGGCAGCCTCTCATTCAAACAGTAGGTCAGTTAATGCCTTTGATGTCTGACACCTGTTGAGATGCATTAATTAACGCACACACACACATTCTTGTACTTGCTGCTTTGTGAGGTCTATGAGAAAAGACCTACAAAGTGAGAATACACTCACTGAGTTTACATATATAAGCAAGTTTCACAAAAAAAGTTTTTAGCTGACAGAGCGAGGTGAAGAAGTTCAGAGGCCCTAAATTCACTGCAGTTAGGCAGCTTCTCATTCAAACAGTAGGTCAGTTAATGCCTTTGATGTCTGACACCTGTTGAAGATGCATTAATTAACACACACACACACACACACACACACACATTCTTGTACTTGCTGCTTTGTGAGGTCTATGAGAAAAGACCTACAAAGTGAGAATACACTCACTGAGTTTACATATATAAGCAAGTTTCACAAAAAAAGTTTTTAGCTGACAGAGCGAGGTGAAGAAGTTCAGAGGCCCTAAATTCACTGCAGTTAGGCAGCTTCTCATTCAAACAGTAGGTCAGTTAATGCCTTTGATGTCTGACACCTGTTGAGATGCATTAATTAACGCACACACACACATTCTTGTACTTGCTGCTTTGTGAGGTCTATGAGAAAAGACCTACAAAGTGAGAATACACTCAGAGTTTACATATATAAGCAAGTTTCACAAAAAAGTTTTTAGCTGACAGAGCGAGGTGAAGAAGTTCAGAGGCCCTAAATTCACTGCAGTTAGGCAGCTTCTCATTCAAACAGTAGGTAAATTAATGCTTTTGATGTCTGACACCTGTTTAGATGCAATCATTAACGAGACACACACACACACAGTCTGACAATGTATGTGCGTGTGTGTCTGCTTTAAGCCTCCTCTCTCCTGCTGCAGTGACACATCTTCCTTCGCCATGGCAACCAATCAGTGCACCTGGAGACACACAGCTGACTGGAAAGCTGCTTCTAATGGCCATATGAGACACATGAAGCCAGGCTCAATACACAGAGCACTAGGGGTTACATTTAAACCCTTCACCAGAGCACCTGAAAAACTTTGGCCCCTATCTCCTACCACAAACTTTGACCTAGAGAAACCATTCAGGGCTCCAAAAATGTATTCAGGATTTTTATTCATTTAAATTTTACCAACTTTAAATGTAATCCTGTTATTAATACATTATTCAATTCTTCAGACAAATTTAAACTCATTCAAACCTTTCTAATACTTCAACCTTGTCTAATACTTGAGGATTTTTAATTATTCAATTTTTTTCCCATTTTAAACTCACTCATTATTGATGCATTATTTAATTCTTCAAACAGATTCCCAGATTTACCACTACAACTACTAGTAATATTACTAATATCACTACTACTACAACTACCTATTATCATACTTCTTTTCGTATGAAATCTTAAACTTATGCCACTTCTCACTTCTCTGTGTTTTACGGTCATTTTCTTCCTTATCCAATTTTTTTGCAATTGCAGACAGTTTTTGTTGCCTCTTTAAGCATGATTGCAATTTTAATTTATGAAGCACATTCATACTGTTTGGACTTAAACAGTTTTCACTTTCATCCAACTTCCACTTCTTCTTCACCTAACCAATTTTACATTTAAACCTCCTTTTATTTTTTATTAGCAGTTTTCTATTGCTTTTTCAGCTTTCAGCACTCTGCATTACCATGCGTTTTCTGCAAGGAAATGCAATTTTTCTAGTTTTAATTTGTTGCTTCTTTATAATGTAGAGCGGACTGGGGATTCCAACAGGGCTTAAATACATGTATTGGTGTCACCAAACAGTGTGTTGCTGCCCCGAAGCACAGCAGCACACAGACTGGAGGCTGCCAACCAGACCCCAGCCTGACTCTGTTTGCCAGTGATTGGATCAGGGTCCATCACTGATATAAGCAATGGTGGAGAGGCCACTGAAGCACTTTCGTCAGAGCTGGAGCCGACAGGTAACAATCAGCCCTCATTTTGCTTATGTTAGAAAATCTGACAGTCAATTTAAGCAGTGACAGCATTGTCTATTACAAATAAGACTTACCAATTTCACACATGTATATTTTGATTGTTCCAATGATCTTAGAGCCAGGCACCCGCGGCCAGGTCTCTTTCAGCGTGCCATCCACTCTAGGTACTGGACCAAGACCAGCCATCTTCACAGCAGAGGTCTTGAAGAGACAGTAGTGGCCTCACTTGAAGGGGTTATAAAATAATGACAATCTAAAATGCTTGACTAGACATTGTCCATTGTTTGCATTTACTATCCCTTAAGCTAGCATTCTATATTGGCTACTTGGATTTTTATCACTGATTAAATAGCAAGAGCACCTTCCCAACTTATAGCCTACTTCCTATGTCAGAATCCATTGATAATGTCCTGTCTCCTCTGTACAGCACCCAGTGGAGCCTCTCCTTGTTATTGTTCTCTGGGCATCGGGTCATCACTTTGTTTCAACACAAACAACGCCCCCCCATTCACTAGTGCAACTTTGTGCAAAACTGCAGTGGCCCAATGGCCCAAATTATATCCCACACCCTTTCAGGAGTGTTCAACAAGGCCCCCCCCCTGCTGGGCCAAGACAGAGCCACCTGCCTTTAGGAGTCAAAAGCATCGCTCCACAGTGGCGTGTGTGTGCGCGCAATGTTAAAACGGTGCTCTTGCTCTATGGCAGTTTTTGCCAGCAGAAATATCAAACAGGCCTAGTCACTGAGGGCATGACAAATTTATTGTATTTAATTTAATTGAATTTATTTATTAATCTTTAATGAAATCTGGCTGCTTGTGCTTCATAATTTTTTTCATTTTTTTTTATTGATTATCTTGAGACAGACATTTGCTGCATCGCAAATCCGCACCTACTCAAACTTGGGTACATGAAACCTGTCATGAGCTCATGTCCAAAGTGATAAATGCTGATTCTTGCATGGAAATGGTCGTATGGACAGTTTTCTGCTGTATGTTCATTTGATAAATGAAGGCCTGAGGTTTTAAATGCTGCAATGTCTCTCTCCCCACTTCTCATTGATGCTAATACAAAATATTCTGAGAGAAGTAGAAGGAACTTCTGTTCCTAACTTACAAGTTTGTCCAAACTATTCACTGTAGGAAGACCAAAATCATACCAAAGCGCTAAAAAAGTCCTTACGATAACCACAGTCTGCTTTTTTTCTGACAGGAGCTACTGTTTTGTCAGAGTAAAGCCGCGTTCAGACCAAACGCGACCTCGGCGACGTGAGCAACGACTCCCAATGCAAAGTCTATGGACAGCTGCGACCTGACGCGACCTGACGCGACCACCGGCGACGTGACGTCAGCGATCTACACGACCAGGTTGTGCATGGTCGCCGACGTCGCATCGCCTGAGGTCGCAGGACGCCAAGTCGTTTTTTTATAGCGCGCATATAAAAAGCCATACAGTGACAGTCGTGCGCAATGCCGCACAAGTTTTATTTGTCACGTGCCTAAATGTACAGGTACAGTGGCAGTGAAATGAAAGTGACATCTGCGATTGTGCCAAAAAAGCAGAATAATAATAATGTAAAATCTGTTCAGAGGGTGTTGTGAAGTCAGTTATAGGGTGTGTGTCATGAGGAGTTCAGGATCCGAGTGGCCTGGGGGAAGCTCCTTTTCAGCCTCTCAGTCCTGGCTCTGATGGAGCGAAGCCTCTTACCCGAGGGCAGCCGCTCAAACAGTCTGTGGTTGGGATGGTGAGTGTTTGATAATCCGTCTTGCCCTGGACCTGCACCGCTGGGTGTAAATGTCCTGGAGGCCGGGCAGTGCAGTATGGGTGATGCGTTCAGCACAATGGATGACTCAATGCAGGGCCTTTCTGTCCTGAGAGCTGCAGCTGCTGTACCAGGCAGTGATGCTCGCAGAAAGCACAGACCCCACTGTGGCGGTGTAGAAAGTTTGCCAATTTTAATTTACAAATGTGCAAAAAAACAAATTCCATTTACATGCATTTGTTTTAAGATTAATATGACTAAATCTTTTTGGTTTACGAACTTTCACCACATGAGCAGCGGTGGATAATGGAGCAGTTTTTTTTTAACACATGCATGAGTGTCACACGTGCTTGTGTTTTCTGATCCTCACCTGTCGCCGCCACGCTCCGACGGTGCAAAGCCACTTTTTTCTTTGCCTCTACCTTTAGATCAGACCACTTCTTCCTGATTTCGGCAACGCTGCGCTCAGTGCCAGCCGTACTTACCGCCACGGCAACGGTGTGCCATTCGGTGGCTTTTATTTTATTGGTGATGCCACTCGAATGGCCGCTGAATAAGGTCTCCCATCTCGCCGCCACCTCATTTACAAGAACCTCCACCTCGGTCTCTGAAAAGTTTCTTTTTCTACGACTTGCCATGATTAAGCGTGAAATGCTGTGGATCCATCAGGCTTATTTATATGCAAATCACATTCAGTAGGTAATTTACATGACCATACATGGTGAATTTTGGGTGTGGGAGGGCGGGGCATGAATCAAATCCCTGCTGCGCAACTTTCTGGCTGGTCTGTGATTTATAAAGGGAAAGTGTGTGCAGGTGTGCGTTGGCAGGGTTTTATAAATCAGATTTTTTTTTGGCCTAAGCACTTTTCAGCTTTTCAACTTACGTACACTTTTAGTATGAATCCTACGCCAGGTTTTATAAATGAGGCCCCAGGTAATTTTTTTACAGTATGTATTGTACAGTATGTGTTAAGGGTTCATTTTTTACAGTGTAACTTCTTACTTTACTGAGTGGATCAAATAAAGGAAACAGACCAATCCTGTTTACTTCTTCAGCAGCACTAAATCAGTCTGATCAGATAGATAATATAACTTCTGTGAAAATCATCCTGTCTTCCGTAAATTGATCAGATTAACATAATTTCAAAATCACATTTGTGTGTCCAAGATTAGTTTTATTTTGACTGGATATTAAAGGACAGAGGCAGAGAGCAGCTCACAGGAAGAGCTCAGTGCACAGAAAGCTGATAAACTTTGCAATTTAGCCTTTTTTGCCCAGTGTACATGGTCATTTTAAATTAATTACATTTGATTATACCCACCGCAGACAGATAGACAGGCGCTCCATAGCTGAGATGGAGCGCCTGTAGTTCGTGTCCTGGCGGGAGATGCTGCTCCCCACCCAGGCGAGGAGGTCCTCGAACTGCGCCAACGACACACAGAAATACCGCTGGAATCGCCCATCGTCTAGGGGGAGTTCCTGGAGCAAGCGGTGAAATTCCCCCAGCTCCGTCCTCCTCCGGATGGTTTCATGCACCCAAACACACCGCCGGCATCTACAGCGGATGTATAGATATGAGGCAGCACAGAGGACGACGTCGGCCATCTTGAACACTTGTCGCACTGAAAACCTCTGCGACTGCAGCTTTGGACTCGGTGTGAACACACCAGGGCGCGACGGGACGTGACCGACCAGCGCGACTAGGTCGCTTCAGGTCGCGTTTGGTCTGAACGTGGCTTAAGCCCAAATGTTAAAACAGTGCTAAGGCAAAAAAAAAAAAATCCCTCGTTTTCTTGTCTTGCATCACTGAATCACGTATAGAGCAATTTGGTTAATGATAATATGCTGACTCTCAATCAAAATTCATGTTAGAGCCACAGGGCAAAAGCACTAAGACACTGGCCCTGATACAATAGTGATGCTAGAAACTTTGAGGCAGACACACTGAGGTGCTGACCCCTAAATAATAGTAAAACTCTAAACTTTAGAGAGGCAATATTGTTATATTTCACTAAAGATTCACTACGAGTTCTACAGCTTGAACAGTTGTGGGACAAATTGTACTGTACATCAAAACGTGCGGTTTGATTGGGATCAGTGTGCTATTACTTTTCTCTATTGTATATGAATTTTTTTGTGACAAAGTCAATGGGACAAGCCAATAGAAAAAGAACAATTATTGGAGTTTTTCAAACATCTACTGTTTTGGCTCTGTTTTTATTTTTTTTCCTGTTTTTTTAATGTGTTATAATTAATACTTGAAAAATTATAGTTTGTTGTAGGTGTACTCTTTGTATAAAATATCACAATGCTACTAGAATTAATTATTTGAAATTTCTGAAGAATCTCATCATTATGAACTAACCCCCACAGTGGCTCCTGAGGTCCTTTTGAAATCTCCTAGAGGGAATTTTCTAGTTCTTCATTACTGTCTCCCTGTCTCCCAACACTTGGCTGCACCCTTCGACCAGCCTTAGCCTTTGTTGTGTCTGTGATTGACAACATGGTCCTCAATTGTACCCCTAATTTCATCAGGAATCTGCATATGTAATTGGCCCCCTTTTTCTTTTCCTCTGTTTTGTCCCCTTTTCTTCCTGCATCTCCACCCTCTTTTCCACCTCACTGACCTTCCATTTCTGTGTCACAGTATTGTAGAAATGGTACACACTATGTCCTGCTTGGTTCATATATACCAGCCAAATGAGAGTTCATGGGATTCAGCTCTGAATGACTGTGAAGAATTAGCTTATCAGTGGTTGCAACTAATGCTTCACACAGCCCCCCTCATCAGTATAAGCTTGGTTTTAGGAGACATTTTCGGGGGGGGGGGGGGGGGATATTATAGAAATGTTTAAAATTGGCATGACTGATTTTGACAACTAGTGCAACACTTTTGTTTGTAATGACTCAAGCAATGAAAGGAGGACTATTAGTTTTATAGGAAATGACTATTTATGACTATTCACTATGACTGAAAAAATGTGCAAATTAGGCGATGGCGTCACAGCCACTAGCAAATAACATGTTAATAAAACATGATTATTCTTGTCAGCTGTCCAACATTCACAATTCCAGCAACTGAACATGCTTTTCCACTGCTTTGTTCATGCTAGGGGCATAGGAGTTGTTCCTGTGCCCAACCTGATCTCCCATAGCCAAGAAGAAAGAAAACGAACAAAGTTTGAACACTCTGTACCACTACACCTTAACACACTTCCACCACCAATGGGTGGTAAGGTAGGTAGGTAGGTGGGTAGTGACGTGTCTCAGTTTCTTGGTTGTGATGTCGATGTCACTTGGATAGACAAACTAATATCTAAAGATGGCTTTTCTACCAAACAAAAAATCATAAATTAATTTAAGGTTAGCTTTCAACATGAGGAACATACATGCACATTTTCAACCAAATAATGACATGCGGTAG